GGAAAAGGTAATTGAACTATCAGCCCGAGAGTTCCTCGTACACAGAGTTTCCAGGCAAATTGTCCCGTCGTTTCTCTCTCACTCTCTTTCTCTCTCTCTGGTCGTTTTCGATAAAGGGTCAGCCCTATGGCACGTTCCCCACGAAATTTCCCGTGTGTGTGCTTTTCCCCGTGACGATCCATCGGGGCCGATCGATCCGTGGACTTCAAAGACGACCGCAGCAAAGAAAAAGGGGCGAGACCACGGACGCGTCGTTTCCGTTGACCCGAAACGAACCTCGCGTTTGGAGCACGTGCTAATCCATCGACGGACGTTCGCTGGCGATCAATCAGCGGAAAGAATCCCTGTTGCGCGGAACATCTGAGGAAGACGGAGGGAGATCGGTGTTTCCCTTCGGTTAGGGTTGATGCGTACGAAACGTTGATGAATGACGGTATGTAGGAGGTCGTGGAAGACGAAATTTTTGGCAGAGAGAACGGTGTTTTTGGGGAGAAGGATGGTCAAATTCAAGGTGATCGATCATCTTTGGAACGGTTGCATAAACGTTCCTTTTTTTTTTTTTTGTTTTGAAACTTGAAGCAAAAAGGAAGATAGGAGGATAGGAGGGGAAATGTGGGTTACTTTTTTGATAGTGAGATTTCTAAGGGAACTGGTAAATTGATGTAATCTTCTCTTCAAGAAGAATTACAGTGGGTGTAGAACGTAATCGTACACCGATCAATTTTCCAAAAAACTTTTGTGTGGAATTGTAGTTTCTTAACTTCCTTTTTTATAGTCAATGGTATTTTATTAGGTTGTCCTAAAAGTTTCTTTCGTCAGTTGCATTCAATTATTTTCTATGACAGTGTTTATATAAATAGACGATCTAATTTTTGGGACAACCAAAAGTTTCTTTCGTCAGTTGCATTCAATTATTTTCTGTGACAGTGTTTATATAAATAGACAATCTAATTTCTTAGAGATTGATGCTGTAACAGTAATGGAGCGAAATGAATTGTAGACAATTTTCTAATGTAACATAAAACATAAAATATTGTGTATGAAGTAATTATTAATAAAACGAAAGAAACTTTTGGGACAACCTAATACATATTCTCGGAAGTCTCTAAGATAGATGTAGTCCAAACAACATTTACTAGTTAATAATAATTTGTGAAATTAACACAAAAAAATGCGAAAAGTGGGTGAAAGTATAGAAGCAATAAGTATTTGTACGATTCTTATGATGAACCATTTACAGTAGAGTTTGTAATGTAAACACATTAGTTTATTGCTCCGTACGAATTAGAAAAGAACAAATTTCCAGTAAAGTACTGTTAAACAGTTGTCCGAATACTTATTGCTTCAACATTTCTATCGATTAATTGTATTTTTTCTTGTTAATTTCACAAATTATATTAACTAGTAAATGTTGTTTGGACTATATCTATCTTAGAAACTTCCGGGAATATGTAGAATGCCATTGTTTATAAGAAATAAGTTAATAAATTACAATTTTACACAGATTTTTTGGAAATTGATCAGTGTACGAATACTTTCTACTACTAGTAGAACTACTCTTGTTAATCGTAGAAAACAAATAATTTTCATCAATAAAAACCACATTCATTACGCTTACCAGAAGTTTCCCAGAAACCGTGTCGAAGGCTTTGTTGCTTCTGGATGCATTCTCTAATCGTATCACCTCGGTGGACCACAAGAAGCCTGAGTAACATATTCTCCGAGACCACGCGGCACGTATTTGTTCAGTAATTTCGTGGCGGGTACGTGACGAGAAAGATTTCGGAACCAAGGACCGAGATGGCCGTTCTTGGACGTCGTTAGACCGTAATCGACGAGCGAGGTCAGTGTTCGCGACATAAATTTTCGCTACGGGGGAAACCTTATCGAGGAGCGAAGGTTGGAGAAGGAGAGCGACTGCTCGTCTGTCAGTTGTCTATTCTTATCCGTCCGCGATGGGTCGAAGATTTCTTCTGGAGCTGTTCAAACAAGAACGAGACGTTACTGGAGAAACTTCTAAATCCATTGGTCGGCCAGTCTGGCCTCAACGATCCTGAAGAGTATAATTATGAAGTAGAAACATTGAAAGGAGGAAGTTTGTGGCTGTTGTCTGAAATGTTGTCAATGGTGGCACGTTAGAAAAGTGTCTAAATATAAATAAAACCACAGTGGACGAATTTTCAGGTTCTCTGGTCTTAATGGCCCTGAAGAGTGTGACTACAAGGTAGAGACATTGAAGGGAACGAATTTTGCAAATAAAACCTAACCCAGACCTATTTCTATGTCATCTGGTCCCCTGTAGAGTGCAATGGCAACGCAGAAACGTTGAAACAACGAACCTGAATCATCGTAGCAATGGAATTGCGTCCATTTGCATTCTCAGAGGTCACGTGACGCGAGAACGATCAGATTAGAAAGAAACGCCGTTATTTGGAAACTAATCCGACAACGTAGTTCGGTGAGATCCGAAGAATTTGTAGATAAGAAAGTTGCCGCGATGCTGGTAGTCTAAAAAGCTTAGTTGGAAATCAACGCGAAAGCAATTACAGAAAATAAACAAGCTACGGAAGCAACGGATACACCCGATTGTCCTAGAAGTTGATCAAAGCTGGGGTAATCTAACACGGTTATCCACTCAAACTCCCCGGGAAACACCTAAAACTAGTTTATGGGGATAATGGTTTAAATGGCTAGGAATGTTTTAAGATAAAATAATTTGGGATACTTTTATTAGGCTTGGGAAAAATGACGAGATTGGAAAGGAAACGAGGTTTTAGAGAGATCGACCAAAGTCATATTATAAACTAATTTCAAAACAGTCATATTTGTATATTATTTTGTATTTACAAGAATAATTATACTTTCATTTCTAAACCCCCCTATATATTTGAAAATTTCTTTCTGTGGCAGAATTACATTTCCATTAGTAAAGAATGAAACAATTACAGTCAAATATCTATTTACTTCTTCGTAATTGAATTTGTATCACCTAAAACTAGTTTAAAGGGATGCTCTCTAAAGTAGGCTAAAGGGATGCAAACTCTCCATGAAACAGTCACTTGAAACTAGTCCAAAGGGATGCTAATGGAAACGCCTACGAATGTTTTGAAATAAAATAAGCTGGACTCCTCTCATTGGATTTGATAAAGTGTCAAGATTAGGAAGGAAGTAAGGTATTTAGATAGATCGACCAAAGTCAGCCAAAGCATAAATTAATCCAAAAACACAGTCACTTGATAGTAGTCCAAAGGAATGCTAGCTTGAAACGCCTACGAATGTTTCCAAATAAATTAATCTGGACTCGTTTCGTTAGGTTTGAGAAAGTGTCGGTATTGGAAAGAAATCAAGCGATTGGCGAAAGTCACGCGAGAAATAAAGTAATCCCGTTAGAGTCGAACGAGCACACTCCGAGCGTGAAATCGTGCCCAGAGGAGTCTTTGCGAGTGTCTCTTCAGAGGCAACCGACAAATTACTCGACGCGCGCCAGAAACCAGAGGCAAAGACACCGCCAAACAGGCTGGATCGTGTTGCGATCGAAATCCGCTGGATCTCCCGTCGTTCACGGCCGACTGATCCTTTAATTCGGTCGAGAGGACGAAAGGAGCGGATTTAAGTCGAGATTAGAACCTAACCGCGTGTTTCGTCGACGGTTGGCCGCGATCGCGGCGGTGGTCGTCGGATCAACATTGTAGAACGAGACGATAGCAAACAGGACTCTGGTCGCCTGCTAAGATGAAGAAAGACTATAATGGAGCCTGTGTTTCTTGAAGGTAATCCAAGAGGACCTTTACGTTGGACGTCGAAGAAGTCAACTGGAGGCGGCTTACCCTTAAACACGGGGGTTTGGAATGATTATCTTGAGGGTACACAGAACTTCTTGGTCTTTTAGATAATCTGGTTGTGCGTTGAAATCGGTGACAGTCAAGCGATATAGTTCGTCGAAGTGTTTGAACTGGGTGTTGAATAAGCAATTGCTCTTTAGTGGCTCCAGAAATAAAGATTCGAGGGATGTGGAACACGGACTTACTTATTTGATAGGAAATCGTTTGTTCAAACAGTGCCAAGCTACTCGAGCCATGTATAAACTATGTGCCGTCTGGAAATGGAATAATTGGCTTCAGAAATAAAAATTGAAGAGATCCAGGAGGTTAGAGGAACGAGCACCACCTGGACGACTTATTCGTTTAATAGAAAATTGTTTGTTCAAACAGTGCCAAGCTACTCAAGCCACACGTATACGCTATGTATAGTACGGAAATGTAGTAATTGGCTTCTGAAACAAAAATTGAAAAGAACCAGAAGATCTGAGGGATCAGCACCACCTGTAGGATCTACCCATTCGATAGTGGCTTGTTCAAACAGTGTCAAACTACTCGAGTCATGCATAAACTATATTGTATATATATATATATATGTATAGGGAACAGGAAGGATCGGTTATTTGATGTTTATTCGTCTTCAGGAGCATCTTCGAAGTAAATGAAATATGTTCGGTAGATTTAAAGAGGTGTGGCTCGAGAGTGAAAGTTTATTTTAATTTAGTGAGGATATGTATATATATATGTATGTATATATATCTAACGAAAATGCAATAGCTGACTCCAGAAATAAGAATCCAGAATGACGAGTACCACCTGTAGGATCTATCCATTTGCTAGTGATACCAGTGTCGATCCATTCAAGCTACTCGTAGCTATATGCATCTAATGGAATACCAATAATCACTCTCAAGTGATCCCAAAAAAGAAAAACAATCTCTCCACTTAATAATTATTTCCCCGAACAGTGCTTGCACAGACTACTCAATAATTCCTCTCTTGTGGCCCCCAGTTACAAAAATCCAAAGGGCCCAAAACCCTGAGGACCTCTCAGAAAATTCTCAATCTCCTCCGAAACGTGTCTCGTGGATAAACCACGCCGCTAATCCCCGCGCGACGTAATTCCTTCCAGGAGGACGTTCTGGTCGCGTGTCGGTTCGACGAGTCGATAGCTTGGCCGCGGGTGGGTGGGCGGGGGGGAGGGGTTCCCGTTCACCCAGACAGTGGAAATCGCGTATTCGCGGACAGAAGTACTCGTCGTGTGTCAGTGGAAGTGGCGTCGTCGTAGGTGGGTGTGCTTATCAACGGCGATAATGAGTGTCGAACGCGTGGACACGCGACGAAATCACACGTTCGTCGCGATAGAGTTTCGGGGATCGTCGCGTGGCTAAGTGGCGGAGAACATGACCGCTGGAATGGCGAGGAAGTAAGCGCTTTCTGTTTTTTTTTTCTTCGTCTCTTCCGGCTTCTGGGGGAAGCGGAGGGAAGGGAGGCTACGAGTGGGCTGCCCATAGAAGACGACGATGATGTCTAGACAAAGCAAAGACCCCGTGCAGAAGTGCCACTCGGACCCGGGCGCAGCGAGTGCCCCGGGCACTCCTTGCAGCCCTGGTAAGCGAATTTCTCGACGACTGGTGCCAGGCATTCCGAGCTCCTCGAACACACGCAAGTGTGTTCTCACCTTAGATGGGTACAGCTACGTGATCGGTGAGTACCGGAACCGCGATAAGGGTCGAACTAGTATCGGCATACTGGGAGGGGTTGAGTAGAGGGATCCTTATATCGGAGGGATCTCTCCAGAGGGATCTTGGAGGGAGGAGCTATAAATTTGTCGAGGGAACAGGAAAGATCGGTTATTTGATGTTTATTCGTCTTCAGGAGCATCTTCGAAGTAAATGAAATATGTTCGGTAGATTTAAAAAGGGGTGGCTCGAGAGTGAAAGTTTATTTTAATTTATTGAGGATTTTTAGTAGGAGTTAATATTTTCAAACTTATAAGAAGAGTTCATAAATCAATTATGAAAGCATAATAATTATTTTGAAACCGATATAAATATTCGGGTCCCATGAAAATCACCGACACGGTTTTCACTGACAACATTTCACCGACTCCAGATTCGACCGACAATAACTTTGGCCGACAACGCCTTTAACCGAAAACGACTTTAGTCGACAACAAATTTAACCGACAACGACTTTAGCCAACGAGAGTAATAATCAACAGTAACACGATTTACAACGATATGCATTTGATATTTACTAACAAGGATGTACTGTCTCATTAATTATGTACTTTTTCTTGATATAGTGAATGGGAGGACAGATTTACGAAGAAACGCAGTGAAACCAAACCGAACAAAATGTGTTCGAATATTATTGATATGTATATAAAGTATTAGATAGAATATATTATTCTCAAAATAGTGAAAAGGAAATCCATTTACCTAATGTCGTACGACACCTAAAGAAAAAGGAAAAGGATAGACTTGCAGAGGTACGTATTCAACAAATACTCAGAAATCGTACACAATACACCACCACAAGTTGTTTCTTGCAGGCATTAGCGCACAATATTAGATTATAATAAATTTAATGTAATTAATGTTTTTGTTACACAATTTATCGAATGTACTTAAAACATTTGTTATCTTGATCTAGGCAAGTTATTAACAACGGGAATATTATTCTCCTTGTAACTATTATCTGTATCGCACAATTAATTGAAGGAACCTTAAATTTTTGTTACGTTGACTTATTATGTTAGTATTTTCGTTGTCATAAATGTTTTTGTTATACAGTCCATTAAATGTATTTGAAATTTTTATTATTTTCATTATTAGGTAAATGGATTTCCTTTTCACTATTTTGAGAATAATATATTGTATCTAATACTTTATATGCATATCAATAATATTCAAACACATTTTGTTCGGTTTGGTTTCACTGCGTTTCTTCGTAAATCTGTCCTCCCATTCGCTATATCAAGAAAACGTACATAATTAATGAGATAGTACATCCTTGTTAGTAAATATCATATGCATATCCGTTGTAAATCGCGTTATTGTTGATTATTACTGTCGTTGGCTAAAATCGTTGTCGGTCAAAATCGCTGCCGGACAAATTCATTGTCGATTAAATTCGTTGTCGGTCAAAATCGTTGTCGACTAAAGTCGTTTTCGGTTAAAGGCGTTGTCGGCCAAAGTTATTGTCGGTCGAATCTGGAGTCGGTGAAATGTTGTCAGTGAAAACCGTGTCGGGGAAATTTGTGTCGGTGATTTTCATGGGACTTAAAAATTCATGAGTCGACTTGATCAACTTGGTAGTTCCATTGTTGATTATTAAATGTTTCGTTTCCGTTCAAGCCACCTTGTCGTAGATTCCTCGTAAGGTCCCATGGAACTCACCCCATCGATAAGAGTATTCTTCTCTTTTATTGCCAGGGTAGTTTCGTGCTCGACGTTTGAGCTCGTTCGAGCTCGGAATGAGCACGATCATCGGGGATTTCTGTTTCGATAGTCTCTTCTAACGTCACTAGTCCAATTCCTTTCGGGGCGAGACTCAAGTATGGTTGATGTGACAGTCGAGGGGGTCGACGAGACGACTTCCTCGTCTTTATTGCCACGTTTCGTGCATCGTAAAAATGTCTATCCGTTACCAGCCGCGATTAAAGTTTTCCATTGTCCTGTCACGATTTAGGGATGCTAACACTAGGCATGGTGGCAGAGCGAAAGGTTCTAGCTAAAGGATCTATAGATCTACAGCAGAAATCTCAAATACGACATACACTCAAACATTCAAAGAACAAAACGAAGAAAACTAATTATTCCCCAGTTTTCTTTCCGTTTGTTTCTTCTATCAACTCGCACGAGAGTAATTACATCATACAAAATTAATGTATTCGCATAATGCATTCGCGCGTAGGTAACCGCGCTGCTCTGTCTTTTACCCTAATTAAGCAGAGCATACGCCACGTAGATTTGCAGAGATGTCGCGGTTAATGCTGCCGTAATGTTAATTAATCGAGAAAATTCAACGACAGAGGCTGTACGAGCACTTTTCAATTCCGCGAAGCGCTCGGTTCTCGTATGGATTTTCATTGAATTCGCCTAACGAACGCGAGCCATTCGTTACCGTCCATACTGGGAGTTCCACTGTGTCATTATACGCATTTCGATGTTCTATTATTGAAACGACGAAAGAAAGGAACTTTGTCGAGCCGTTTGTGCGTGCCATTCGGAGCTTATTATTGGCCCGATGTGCGTTCCGTTTGGAATTATCCGCCATTGTTACGACTGGGATTTACTTGAAATCCAAGGATTATTCCCTCTTATTGCGTCTCGTGAAAATTTGTACAGATTTAAAATTTTGTTCGCAGGTGTATCGAAGACTGAATAATTTAACATTCGTTGTAGCATTTGATTCCTGAACTTCGTTAAATTCACGAATCCTATCCAGATTGTTTCCAGATTTATGTTTATAAAAGTTCTGTCGCCTATTTCTAGGTGACGTTGCAACCAATGTGTTAAGAAATGATATTTTCAGGTACCGAACATTAGGAACTGTATAAAAACTGTAACGTTTTTCTTTCTCCGAGCGAATAAGTATTAATGTATTCGACTTCCATTTGCATAAACCGTGTTTTATTCGCATCTGTTGAATAATGCTAATAATGCATATATGCGTGACGCGAAGTATTCCGCGAATTATTGAAAATAGGTCGCATTGTTGGATTAATAAGAAGAATTAAACTGAAAGGTTTCTTATTTTCGGAAACAGATAGGGCGTTTGGTATATTAGAATATTATAGTATTATATTTTACGCAATAAAATACGTGTATTCATACGGTAAACATAATAAGAAAATGCAAATAGACAAATCACATAAACAAATGAGATAAAATGGCAAGTAATCAACAATGTCGTTGTCGAACATTTTAAAAGACAGCAACCATTACTTTCCTCGAAAGCTTTGAAAGCAGTTGAACCAGCGAGACGCGTTCGTAGAAGACGGAAACGCGGCATTAATGTCACTGTGTCGATGCAGCTTACGCGACACTCTAATATCGCGGGTCGAAATGCGTTCTCCATTGTGCTAAAACGATGCATTCTTTGTCGAAGACTGCTAGTGTTTCGCTAACCGAACATGATCTTGAAATTTGCATAAAACGACTCTACGAAAATTACGCATATCGAAGGAATAATAGTTTCAATTTTAATTCCACGCTATTGATTTTCAAATTTTGAATACAGATTTAGTATCAGCACCCTTAAAACCCTTTGTATACCAAGCTTCATTTAATTCCAGTCATTTTTCGTATTTTTGTGCCACTATATTGAATCCGCTATTTTGAATTTCTAAATTCCTAGTACACATTTCAAATCAGCGACCCCGGAAACCCCGTGAATAAATTGAATGTTGATCATTTCGCAGTTTCAAAGTAGGTATCACATTTTTTACCTCTTTAATCCTTGTTTCAGAGAAATCTCGATAGTCCACAAGTGTTCCAATTGAATTTAACAAATTTTAGGTCGAAACTATCCTAATCACCGTTTCGAAAGTGGGCTTATTCGATTTAATCGGACCATAATTATTAAGAGTCGCTAGGCGAGAGGAACACTAAATATCCCAGAAGCAATCACGCTCCTTACAGATCAGTATTGGTCTCAGGAGCAATCAGGTTTCTTGCAGAAGCAGTCCAGAATCAGTTTCACGAGTAATCAGGTTTCTCAAATAACTAGTTATGGCAGCATTCAGGCTTCGCGCAGTATAGGAGAGCAATCAGGTTTATCATAGATATTAGCAGGTTCTAAACTTCGACGTCGATACTTGATTTGCTGCGCTTGTTTACGCGAACAATATCACCCAAAATTTCAGAAACTATAGAAGCAATTTCCAATATATCTATTGAAAGAATTTAATGACCGAATGATTGTTTTATTTAGTAAATGGTCGATTAGCGACGTTCGAATAATGGTGCTCGAATTGCAGCACTTAAATGTACTCGAATAATTCGAGTTCCACTCTGCAACGTGCTTCGTGCAAACCAGAATCGATACCGGAGGGAAATGTTCCCGGGGAGTTTAGCGGGAACGCTTTCATATCTACTTTGTCGCGAAAAGTCCAAGATTCTTTTGCAGGATTCTAACCGGATTTCTGAAATGTAATATCGGCGTAAAGGGAAGAGATAATACTGCCCCGGAGCACATAGGAATACGCGTTGCTTCTTCGAGGGAGGGTTTAATATCGTTGAGCAGTTTAACAACTCACGCGATAAACTCGTCTGAGGGCCATAAAAATGGAAAGCCATGGTAACCGTGCCCACTTCAAGTAACGTATCGCTAAAATGTCTAATCACTCCTACCGACTACTAAATATTTATAACGTTGTCATTGATACGACATTGATAAATATTAGGTTGTCCAGAAAGTTCGTGCCAATTTCTAAGGAACATTCAAAAACACGTTTGAATTTTAATACATATATATTTATTGAATTACATAAGTGCCATTTTGTTCCACAACCTTTCCATCTTTTAAGGGATGTATCCATGTTATTTGTTTTCAACAACTTCGATATATTCAGACCTATACCACCTACCACAAAACGGCATGGACTTTCCGGACAACCCAATATAACTATAATTTTTTGTATCTTCCAAAACAACCGAAAATTATATTTGATAGATTTCATTCTCGTCCCCTTCTCT